CTTATGTCTTAGAAAGTAGACAGAAGGAAATGGATGGGGAGAGAAGAAAAGGCTATAAATTAATAGAGACAAGGGCTAACGCAAAGGAGAGCCAGGAGGTTGGGGAACCGGAAAAGTTGAAGTCAGTGGGGCTAGCTGATGAACGGGAAAGCCTCAATGCCCCAAATAAGAGTACATTATCATTATTGGGCATGGTAGGCCCGGAGTATATGGGAAAGGAAATTGAGGGGTGAACTGAACTTGGGAATTCCCTTCCTATGGCTCCCTGAGGTCATTCAGGATCGACCAAAAGCCAGCCGTTTATCCTTTCAACACGACCCTTATATCTTATATATTAGTGGACAGAAGGGATTGGAAAGGAGAGAGCAAAGGAAGTGGGAGAAGAAAAGACCGTGCAAATTGCTTGAGCCGAGGGCTGATGCCCAAGGAGGGGGAAATGTTGGCCCTCAATTTGTCTCTTAACCCAATGTCTGCGGGGATATTTACTGTCCCCTTTAGATTTTCGTGAGTTTTGTTGCATGCAGATAGCGTCATGTGTTCTCAGCAGCAAGGAGTCAGTTGGCCCTAGTGACCGATCCTGATTGGAGGGAAAATGCGTTTTTCTTTCCAATACTATTGATATTGACATTTTTATCATTTTTTATTGATATTATGATTATTAAATTGTTATTAAAAGATTAATAACATCAAAAACAATAAAATGATAGAAGTGAAGTTTTCAAAAAAATGAAGGAAAATGGTTAACAGATTAGGTATATAAGACTGATAGCTGCCTCCTTGGTGACTAAGCACTTGTAGAACCATCTATATATAAAAACAATAGCTAAACTTCTTACTACAATGGGCATGACACTGTAGTCTTGCCACCTGCGCACATTAGGTTAATCACCCCTGCCCAATGACAATGGACATGGGATTGGGGTCGGGAGGGGACATATGGGCAAAATAAATGATCAGAAATCTGCCTTTTGATGAAATTCATTATTACATGTTAAATATCGTAATTCCTGAACTCTGCAATAATACATAAACAAGAAATATGGGGGAAGCTATCGGGCAATACAGACCTCGAGAAACCTTTCCCGAATGTGATGAAAGATAGTGGGGAAGGGTGAGGGAGCTTTGTGTATACCAAGTTGTTATTGACAAGTCGGGTATAAATGGATAATGGTTAAAACAATTAAATGAGTCAATCATCAGAGGTCATATACCACTAAGGTGAAGCAGTGTGGCAAAAAGGGTAAAAAGAAGAGGGAATGATGCACATGGAAGAGAGAATGTGGTGCATTGGGATAGAGTGGGAGGAAGAGGAGAAGGGGGAACTTGAGGGTGAGGATGATATATCGTCAATTACTTTGAACATAGAGAGAATGGAGGGTGGATGAGAGTGGAGCGTTCTATTGGGTCCTGTTTTGGAAGTTATGGAAGTCTTCAAGAGTTACTGGAGGTAGGTTGGGTAGGGAAGTCTGAGAAATATAGGCCTTCTTACGAGGAGGAGAAGAGGGAATAGATGTAAAAAGGAGCAGAGGAAGAGATGGTTGTAGCAGAGGATGTGGTTGGAGAGGATGAGGTGGAACGTTTAAACTGCCTAGTGCGACAGGTAAAGTAAGAAAGAGGAGGGGTAGGCATTGGGGAAGAGGTAGAGATTGGAGTATCTGGATTTAGATTGGAAAAGAAATTTGACTGGATGAGAAAGGGAGTTGTGGTAGGATGCTAAGGGACAGAGCAAGGAGATACTTGGGGAGATGTGAGACATCTTCAGAAGATGGAAGGGTATCTGAGTGAAGGACAATGTTGGAATAGGTAGAGAGAGAGAAAAACTTCATCTGTGTGCCTCCTGTCTAGCCTCATGTAGAGTGAGGTCTAGTTTGAATCGGTGCACTGCCTGATTTGAGCTTGTAGGCAGGGCAGCTCCTATAAAATACATTAAGCCAGCCACCACAACTGGTACACATGTATGAATGAGCAGAGCAGTTTGAGCAGTCATGACCAGGTTGGGCACACAGAGGGCAACAGGCTGTGAAGTGACAGTGTTTGGCAGGGTGGTCAAAATGCCAATATTTCTGACACTGACGGGGAAGGGGTTGATAAGGTCGGACAGGGCAGGGCATTACACCAATATAAACTTCATGGGGGAGGTAATGGCTATAGAAGCTAATCTTGGTAATATTGGCATAGCACTTGTACTGGCTTCTAGGAGGAGTAGTGTAGCTCTGTAAAGCCACTGAATCATAGTTAACGTGGCAGGCAGGCAGGTCGTTTTCACAGTCTGACCAGTTCCAGTATAGGAATAGTGTTGCTAGTGAGGTCAGTCAGGAGAGATACTGCACAAGTTTGGGACATGAATGTAAGTAGTAAGAGGCTTTCAGGTCAAAATTTTAAGTTTAGTACCAAGTTGAGATTTTTTATCTAAATAATAAATGTCTGATCAACACTCAGTTAAACTTACAACTGACCTCCAAAACCCTGGGAATGAATTTAAGGAATTCTTAAAACAAACTGTATCTTAGAGGTGTTTATAGATGTATCAACAGTGCGCTACAAAGAGGGACAGGCTAATATCCTGTTTAAATATATGCAATATAAATCCAAATTCTCTATAAAGTAGTAAAGCTGGCAATACAGATCATATTTTAGCTATCAGTATCACACAAAACTATCTTTTGTGCCTTGGAACCTCTTTTCATTCATACTTGCTGCTCACTAATGATCCAATCTTACTTGTGTGACCAAAGTAAAGATACGCATAACATATAACATGAAATACTTTCACCACCACTACCTTACAAGTTTCCTTCATAGTTAAGTTTAATATAAAACAAAGTCATGTACAAATATATCAAAGCAAAACTAGATATTGAATATAATTAATATGAGTATCTGTTCAGTAACCTATTCAGGTATATATTAAAACAAATATAGCTCTCCAATCATGTATGTGTGTGTGTGTGTGTTTCCAGAAAAAAGGAATGTTATCAAGACACAATACAGACACTGCACTTTCTTTACTAAATGCATTTTCTGTGTGGAATACAGAATATCCAGTCTTTCTGAAACCTTATGAATTATATGAAAAGCTGAAGCTCAAAAATAAGTTTAAAATTATGGTTAAAATTAATAACCTTCTGTATTAGACCATGCACTTTTAATTTCCATAAAGTTTCCTGAAGTCACATTTATTCTAATTGCATCTCTTATTCTACTTCATCAATCTGAATCATCACTGTCATCACTGTCTCCTCTTCTGCCTCCTCGGATGGTCTTCTTTTGCACATTCATCCGCTGGCCGCCACTGGGTCCAGTACCGGGGAAGGTCATGAGGTCACCGCTGTATTCTATGACATCGGCACGTGCAATCCTCCACTCCATCACCTCGGTTGTGAATTCATCTTTGTTGCCTAAGTCAGTGAATCCCACAACATAGTCCTTTGTCTTGCCATCCTTCACCAAGCATAAGGTAGGCAGGACACGAATCTTAAGTCTCTCTGGAAATGATCAATAACAATTTGTTTTTCTTCCATTCTTTTATGCATTGATTTTGTTATGAATATATTAAACTCTGCATAAACAGATGAGGAAAACAAAACCTAATAATAGATATTTACAAATACAAAATCATAATTACCAGTCAGGAATGGTGCTTTTTCAACATTTATCTTGCAGAACTTGGTCTCTATATGTTTTTTTGCAAGGATATTCAAGTGTTTGTCAACAATTTTGCATCGCATAAACTGGTCCCGGTAGAAATGACAAACAACATTCTCTGATTTCTTGGTAGTTTCAAAGAATTCCTTTTCTTCTGTAAGTTCAGTATATTCTCCATGACCCTGAGAAACAATGAAAATCCTTATATGCAACTGATGAGTACAGGAAGAAATGGTTTACAAGATGAATAACTTACTAAAGTGTAGTGAAATTGCAACTTGCAACTTTATCAGCATTACATATATAAGCAAGATTACAAGACATTCATACTTAAATAATTTTTTTCTACATTTGCAACAATGAACTCTAGCATAAAGTGCATGTAACTCAGGTGTACAATGCTAATAATATAAGCAAATATTATCAGTTATTTATTCAGCTAAAACAGTAATAAGCATCCTGCTTATTCCTAATCTCAGTACTAAAGCTATAAGAATTCACTAACCATTCATGACAAAGCATTATAAACAACTGAAATCAATAAAAAACTATACTTCTTACATTTGCTATCCAATCTTGTTTCTTCTGTTGTCTCTTTTTCATGGCAGCTAGCCTGTCTCTTCTGATGGCATCCAAATCTTCAGCATCAAGATTGTCCAATCTTTCAATCTCAGCATCCAACTGTCTTTCTATGATCTGTGTGGCAGCAACCAACTGCTGCTCCACGACTGCATTTGGATTTGACATGGTTCTGGGGGAAAAGTTAAATCTCAGATCTACCATAAACACTTAACTGTACAAGTTAAACAGCATATAATGTCATAAAAAGTATCTTCCAAGTAAACATGATCTTCTTATAGCAAAATAATCAAATCTCAAAGTCAAAGTTGATGTAGGGAACATGTTCATGGAGGAGCATGCTGACTAAGCCGCAGGATAATACAGTAGAATGATCGTTTCCTTTCCACCACAACTCTGACCCCAACAAGCTGGCATCAGCATGTTGGTATTTAATCACAGAAGTCAACTGAGAGGGGGTTACATGGTGCAAAACAAGGACACTGGAATTGCAAATTCAGTGCTCTACCATTGAGCTATGCTACCTCTAATTAAATCTCTCTACTAATCAATGAAATTGCTTAAAGGTGATGACCAGATCTTTTTGCTAGAAGTGGAAAAGTTACGTTTGTTCTTAGTTGGCGGAAAGGTGGACTGAGACATTCCCCAAGGAGAGGTTATAATGGACTCCAGAAAATGTACAATCTTTGCATAACTTGACCTTCTAGTATGTATCAGCAAGGCGTGTTGATGGGGAATGGGGGATGACAAAAAGATCTAGTGCTTGGGTGGATAAAATATGCCATATAACTCTGTGATTGGCTGAGGGAGATGAGGGCCTTACTAGGGAAGTAAGAGTATGGCTGTGGATGAAGGAAATTTGTCAAACACTACCAGTAACAGACATTATCTGACACCACGTACATCCCATTCATAAAGAAGAAGTTGCTGGGAAATATTCTACATATATTTGCCAGGCTTGCCATGATCATGGCAAATAGGGCTGGTGAATAAGACTTTATGGGTTAATGTATAGCAAATATTACAGTGTAAATCTACTGTACTCTCAATGTTTAAAAAAATATAGACTGCAGTCCCATATTATGGCATGTTGCCATTATATTGCCATATAATGCCTGTTCTAGGACAGTTACTTATTGAAGGTTCTGCCCCCATAGCCCCTACCCTGGGGAATTAAGCTACCTGTTACCCATTACGGGGTCCAATCCTTGACCTCCACCCTGGGTTATCAGGGGCACTACTCATGAATCACTTTTTTGCACTGTAAGCCACTGGACTCCTACAACTTTACCTTTAACAGTCTAGAGGGAAGTATTGAAGCACAGCCTGGAGGAGAAGGTTAAGGTGTCTGTTGGCCTCAGTATAGTGTTCAGGTATGTATATATTTTACACATTTGTCACAAAAATCACTGTGGCTAATCAAATATTTGAAGAAGAGTTCAGGATCTTTTTGCTACTCATTTGTCAATGTTATTACTCTTAACCCATTCGCGCCGGGTAAAAATGAACAAAAAATGGGGGAAATGCTGTGCTCATTTTTTATATTTTTTAATGAAATTTCTCTACACTAGATGGCTCTGCTTTACCGGATTTCATTTGGCGGGAAAATGTATTTTTACTAGTGCTATGAATATCGATGGTTATTTTTGTTATAAACATTATAATTACTATAATGTTATAAACATTAATAACAGCAAAATAAGAAAAAAAAAAAGAAAAGGGTAAACAGACAAGACAGGCAGTACAAGTGCAAGTGGAGCCATCTATGTTTTTAAACAATCAAACAAGTAAACTCACAGTGGGCCCGTCACGTATACGTGACGCCTGGCGCGAATGGGTTAAAATCCTAATCTATACATATTCCTTCATCCTCTGGGTTAAGGTCTTTGGCCAAGGTAACAAATTGGGTAACTGTCAAACGAAGCCCACACTGTGGACCCACCTCCTAGCATGCTCTACCAGAAAGTATGACACTAATACATAATAGCAAATAATTAAATAAGAAAACCTTAACTGCACTTTTGACCTAAGTGTTCAGTTCCTCACTGAACACAAGTAATGGTAATCTTTTTTTTTCTGACTGTACATGCTATGTCACAACTGGCCTTGTTTCTGAGTGGCAAGTACACCCATGCCATGTGTGTCAAGGCCAATCTAAAGTTGTATGCATTCAATGGCTTACTTGTTTGGCCATTATTCAGTGATGGGGAGCTTCAGCCCCTCAAAAGAAGGATTGAAATCACTTTTTAGTTTCATTCTGAAAAATTGTATATGCTGCTCCCAAAATTATTGAGGGTGAGAAAATTAGGTTTCCTGTACTTCTGAATTTTCCCTTGAGTGGTTGACTGCAAGCAGTGCCCAGTATGTGGTCTAGTATGCTATGTGACACTCTTGTCAGCATTAGGTTAAAATCATATTAACTATATTACTATACCATATGTCCTTTATATGACTGCATACGCAGTTCCTGATATTCGTAGATTTAGAAAATTTGAAATATTTATTTCATGCTTTGTTATTTTTGTTATTATAAATTGAGGGTATGGTTTCAGTTTCACACAGCCATACAGTATATGGTAAACTTTTCATCTATGGCATTTCTTTTGCAAGTTGATAATATATAAGTTGGGTTAATCTTTATGGTATGAACGCTCTAAACTAAGGCAAATTGAAGACAATATTCTTGTAAAGGACAAAAAGTTGCAGTTACAAATAAAAGAAATAATTTGCAGAAAAGAATGGTAATGCCACAAATAAAGGGAAAAAATCACAGAAAGTGACATTTCGCTCAAGTCGAATGGTGCTCCCTAATTTCTGCAGTCTTGCCATGTACTCCAATGTGAAGACAATGCTTGAGGGGAGGGGGTTGCAGGGCAAGACCCCCCATTAACCCTCTCCTCCAACAATAACATCCAGATATGGCATCTTGGATTGTTGAATAAATTTTGTGACATGGAGTTGAGGATTTGGTCTCTGGTGAGTGAAATCTATATTACAAATACCAAAAGTTGTGCTAAGTGATCATAAGTGAGGGTATTGTTTAAGTTTCACACAGCCATATAGTACATGGTAAACATAGGTTATAATGTACAGAATGAGAAAATTTAAGGCACTTTTCATCTATGGTATTTATTTTGCAGGTTGATAATATGAAAGTTGTAAACCATGTAAATAATACTTTGGTATACATTCACATATTTCTTATTTACTAAAAAAATTCTCACACAACAACATCAAAATATACCGATAGTGTGAAGATTGAGGGCAAAGTCCCCA